CGGGCTTGCTCACAATACAACGAGTGTTCCGGTGCTATCAAAAGGGAATGTATTTGGGTGTAGTAGATTAATACTGCATGTACTCACTAAATTATAACCTTCAGAAGATCTACACCTGCGGAACAAGTCGAGTTGCAGCGAAGTCTACGGGCGTGCGCCTACGGCAGGCACCAGATGGTGACGCACAATCGTGCTCGGCGAGAGCCGTTATATCTAGAATATCTACATTTTGTCTTCTATGTGCATATTAGATCGCTCTCTCCTTATTCTGAACTCAGGGAACAGTGACGGGGCCAGCACACCCAAGCCTGGGCTTCCGGGCCGGGCTTGGGCTTGACTACGCTCCGAGCCCGGCCTTGAGCCCGCTGCCAGGCTTGACTCAGGCCAGGCTTTTTGGGCCGGGCTTGGCGGGCTTGCAGGCTTTGAGGCCCGGCCCGCACATCACTATTTTCGGCAGTAGCAGTTGCTGCGACCGCCAATATGAGCAGACACTTCACTCTGCATTGGGTTATCGGATGGCTGGGCATTGATATGGAGCCGAAAGCGAACGTTCTCTCCGGTGACACCATCTTGAACAACGACGGGGTTGGTGTGCGTGGATTCGACAACCTTCTTGAATGCCATAAACTGTTCAGCAACTGATGCATGCTGAGACGTGGATACGAAATGTGTATGAAACTCTTGCTGTAGTAGCTCTCGTGGCAAATTTTGGTGAGTGATGTAGGCGTTCCAATGCTTGTTTCATGACTTCGACCGGTTACCAGAGACATCATCTCCAAAGTAATCAATGAAGCTGGTATATAGCGGGTCTCCCTGTGCAACCTCTCGCAAGTGGTTAGGCATATTCTGAGGGTATCCCCAATCAACAGCACGCTCTGATAATTGTAAGCTTGGTTCGGGGATTACCAGAGGAAAACTGCGTACCGTCCCAGTTACGTGGTAGTATGCCAGCCTCTGTCAAGTCGTGATAGTTACGGCAAAGAGTGTTTGCCTTGATATCAATGGATTCAGCATCATTGACTGTAGCAGTCCTCTTGAGAGATTTTATTAAGCTTCCAGCACGATTTAAAAGGCAAAAGGAACTCACGCTTTGGTCAATTGTTACAGTAAACGCATCTGCATGGACTTCGCCACGGGCTCTGATCCAGCGAATGGGGATTACCAAGCCCCCACCCTCTAGCTCAGCCAATTCATCAACATAGAAATGCTTGCCACCACCGGCGTCATACATAGGGCTGAGCATCCGCGTGTCCATTTCAAAGCGCCACTTATTAGCATGTCAAACCTCACGGATTCCATCCTTCGGAACTTCAGGATACACGTGGATGTGCGGCTGTGTTTGAGGATTTGACCAGTCCTGTTACAGATATAACAAACCATGTTAGCTGAACATTATCAAATGGTATGCCTGGAATTGACACTACACACCTTGGCAATGATACTTCAGACATCGTTCATATAGAAAATATTTCCGAGTTCGGATTGGCAGCGGATAGAAGGAACGCCACATGTCTGACGCAATTTTTCCTGAGTCTGGCAAAGCTGATAGAGTGAGGGAACGTCCCGAGCACCTGTCTCCTTAAGAGTCCAGAGAAACACCTGCATAAGCGCATCAGAAATGGGACATCGGGGCAGGTTATCAATGGTATCAAGGAGAAACATCTGTATTACAAGAAACGTGAGCTAAATTTGCAGTATTAAAGCAGCATAAAACTCGCCGTCTTTGACTCATAGGGTGCCCATTGACTTGAAGGTGCAGAGAAGTCAGAATCGCCTGGTACAGGACCAGGTAACTCATAAGTGACTGCGTCTTGAACAGCGGGAGGGTTCAGATCTACCAAATAAAAGTAATATTATCAGAATTGTCACACGAAGAGGAAATTCAGGCTTTATGCATACCTGTACTAGCGAGAAGGTCTGCCAGAAGCTCATCTGGGTTTTCTGAACCAAGGCGAAGTTCGAAAAATGGATCTGACCCAGGATTCTCATTTCCGAAGCCTAAGTCCTGAGCTGTGGAGTGAGCATTCCAAAGGCCAAATGTCTCTGCATCCTGCTTCAGTCGACGTTGAGCCCCCGCAGCCATTGAAGGGGGATCCTCGCCGGCATCAAAGGTGAATGCTTGCGGATCCCGCGAGAAGTCGGTCCAGAATTTCTCTGCTGTGCCAGATGGATTTCTCGCTGCAGTCGACTGTTTATGTTGAACAAATTCGATCGATTGCAGTGTTGCAGAGGCGGCTGCTCTCTCCTGCTCTCTTCTGTTCAGCGTCTCATTGATCGTCGCAAGCTGAGTCTCTCGGCGCTCGCGTTCCTCCACCGCTTGCGTGTGAAATCGTCCTTTAATGTGAGCTGCCATGCTCTTTTTGCGGATTGTTGGCCCTCCTTCTTCAGGTGAGCAGAGGGTACAGCGTACTTCAGAGCCATCTTCAGACGGAACGAAGTCTGGCTGCATTGTGAGCACTATCATTTTTTTGGCGAGTTATTGCAGCATAAACTGACATTTCTTGCTCATCTTCTGACGTGACGTGTTCCCCAGAAGCAAGGCAAAATTTAAAAGTGGATGTAAACAGCTTTGCTTGTGCTGTGCGTGATGCCACTCATGCCAGGGCACTGTGTGTGACGGGTTGTGCTGGATATAAGTGGCCTGCCATCAGGCCACCAACCGATCTTAGCACAAAACAACATGTTGTTGTGCTAATGTTTCAGCACTTCTCTTCTAACATCCATCATCATGCCCTCTGCGGCTGCCTTTCGCAATGAACTCGAGCAGTTTGCCAATGCTGAGAGCTCGCCACCAGGCAGCTCCCAGCCTTTGGCTACTGTCCTCGGGAAGCGAGCTCGTCCTGACAATAACACGAGTGATTCAGATGAAGAGGACGACGCTATCGATCCAGATGTTCCAGAGGAGCCTGCTGGTGGCTCTTCTATTCGCCCCACAGCACAGTCAGTGGCCAATACCAGCACGGCCAACCGGAACTTCTTCGAGTATGCTAAGAAGCTTGGTAAGAAAATGAAGCTCTCCCCCAAGCAACAGGAGCAGCTGAACTCCTTCGCCTCTGTACGAGTTCTCACTATCATCTTGTGGCCAGCATACTCACAAACTATTGGTGTTAGGATCCTCCTACCACGCATGAAATGAAGACCTTTGCGCTACTACTTGCAGTTGAACAGAGGCAAAATGAGCTCATTACCACACAAGCTCCATGGGAACCCTCCGAAGAATTGATTGTAAGCACAGGACATGTTGTCTTCCTGTGCCGAGTATGCACTGATTCTTTGGCACTGGCAGGTCAACATCAGAAACTATAGCATGGGCGTTCTACTCTCCAGCCGTCTCGCAACATACAAAGGCATTGTGCCTAACAACTATGTCGCAGTACGTTCTGGCGTTGATATACTAATGTCCAGTACTAACGGCACATTTCTACCGCTACAGGGGATCATTAAACGCTATCGGTTTGACTTGCCGGCAAACATCGAGCAAAACTGTGGCCGCTGGGGCAAGGTGACCAAAGCTATACAGAACGAAATGACAGAGCAAAGGTCAAAAATTAAGAAGACGGTCAGTCTATATCTTGTCTACTTGACGGCAGGCTGCGGAATGCTCACTTCTGCCTCGTAGCTCTGTGCTGGTACTGACGGCAAGAACGAGGAGCATCTCAATATCTTCAAGCTTACTACCGAACTCTGTGAGGGCACGTCGTGCGAGCCGTCAGTTCAACTATGCGCGAGAGTGGCACTACTCGTACGTTGTGGTTAATGATTTTATGTATGATGTCTCCAACTGATGAACATGAACCGCCTTCACTAGCGCAAGACATTCTTGACAAATCCCGGTCGTGACTTCTGGGACGCAGTAAATACAAACCTTGCCGAGATTTGTGAAGTGTCCGGTACCAACCCAAAGAAGATGACGAAGATTTTTAGCAAGATTTTGGCCCATGACCAGGATACTCACGGCGTAGTTGAGCACGGTGACAAGAGTGCTATTGAGAAGGAGGTTCCGGAGTGGCAGCAGACTATCGATGAGTTTGTTGGCAGTCAATTGTAGCCATAGTGTCACAAATGTATTCTATTGCTGCGATAGCAAAGACTGAACGAAGTGGATAAGCCGTGTTATTAAATAATTGGCCGAAGCATCTATCTGCGTGCTCTCAATTGTTCCCCGAACCTGGTGGAGTGGCATCCGAACGGTGCAATGAAACTTGCACGTATATGAACGGCCCCCACCAGCGAAGCTGTGCTGCCGCCACCTGTATCTGTGTCTGGATTCCATGCGGATCTGGAGCCACTCCACAGCCAGAGGCAAAATATGATGGGATCCAGACGCTCATATGTCTTTTTCAGGCATTGTCGTCCAGGACTTTTCCAGCACCTCCCATCTGGTCACCACACGAGAAAATTCTTGTGGTGTAGTTGAGGGAGATAGGGCCCACCCAACCACCTGCCTTTTACGGAAGATCATGTGAAGCTTCGGCGGGATGGCTCAAGCACCCTGCCGCACTGCAGGCCTTGACACTCGTCACCTTCGACACATAAGCGCGCTCTCGCTCGAAACGCCTAAGTCCCGCGCCGCTGCTGCTGTCATTGTCGCTGTCGACAGTGGCCAACTTGAGATGTAGGATAAAAAATTGCACAAGGGTGACACCAGAAAATGTGTGAACAAATGATACCATAGTTTATTTCTAATAATCTGTCTATTAAGCCAGGTATACAAATCAGTAGATCTAGTAAATACTGTACGACTGCTTGTGCTTCTGTGCCTTTTCTGGGGAGGCATTGAGAATATCTACATGTTTTCTCTTTGTTAGATGGTGTGGAGGTGGAGGAGTGTGTGCTCTAGTGGGCAGAGATAGAGCAGCTTGCCCCATTACTGTGCCTGAGCCTACCTCGGCAGGAAGGTTGAAATCCGGAGCTTCGAAGAGGAGCCAGCTTAGCTCGACGCTAAGGGCATCGATGTGTGACTTGATAGATGTCATGATGGCAATATCCTTCGCATTTGATAGGCGAGCTGTGGAGAGAAGTTGTGCAAGAAGGCCGAGTTTCGGTTAGTGGTTGAGGGTCCGGTTCTAAGGACTGGTCGGGACCGGGACTTGGACTGAGACTGGACTGATCAGGACTGGGTATGGTCCAGTCCTACGTCAGTCCAGTCTTGGTCACAGTCCTTGGTCCTAGATGGCGCTGGGTGCTTTTAGAACTGGTCATGACCGGTCAGGACCAGTCACAGACCAATATAAAGTAACAAAAATGCAGCACCCAGAAAGCAGCTTGGCTACTGGTACATGTATATCTTAGTAATTTCTGAACTGCAACCATGCCCTTGTAGGCTTGTCCAAGTACACAGCCAGCTTAAGCACAGATTAATACATTTTTAAAAACTCTTTTTATGATTTATTCAAGTTTGGATGCGGTTACTGCACATAATCAGCTAAAGCCATGACCATGGGAAGATGGAGCCTGAGTGTAGAGATAACAAGGCTCTCAAGGATATGGAGGTTTTATACAAAAATGCTGAGAATGATGAAAGTGGTGCATGATACCCTTCTTCTCTACTTAGAATCCAGCCGTGTGAGCACCCGCATTGTTTTCTTTGCTGAATATAGTAATGTGCAGCCTTGGCTCAAAGCTTGAAAGCCCAGCCCAAAAAAGCCTGACCTGAGCCTGGCCTGGCAGTGGGCTCAAGGCCAGGCTTGAGTCAGTGGACAGTCTCTGCTAGTGTGAACTTATCCTAAGCTTGGCAACTTGGGCTGGGCTCAGGCTCAGGCTCAGGCTTGGGGTCAGGACTCAGCCCAACATTGCCATGGGCCCAATCCTGGGCTTTAAGCTCAAGCTGTGCCTGCATATCACTAGCTGAATA